AAGCTGAAAACCAGGGAATTTCCTCACAAATCTGTTGAAATTTTTAGTGACCATTGGTTCAAGTAGAGCAATGATCCAAGGTTTGTACATCCTATTGAGAGCAAGGATTCCATTAAGGGATTTGGGATGTGCAAGTCCCCTAACATTCCAACAGATTAGAATCATTAACCAATAGAGGTGGATTTCTTTCTTCTCCTAGTTCTAATAGAGCTAGAAGAAGGAGGGGGGTCATCCTACAAAGAGGATGAAGAGGGGATTAGGTTCTTTAATTCTAGAGGCATTTTCTTCTTTTTAGTTTTTTGGACTTTCCAACCAGCTTCAAGGTTCCTGGCTAATTGCAAAATCAAGGGGTCCTCCTCTGGTAGCTCAATAACTGTTGTCTCTTGATCAACAGGAAGTGTAGAAAGATAAGTACAGAGAGTTTGTTCAATATGAGTAGAATGTGGCATAAGGTGGAGGTGCTCAGTTGGTGATTCATGAATAGATTGGGGATTATGTGCCACATTCATGAATATATGCTTGTGAGACTACCACACATATATATATTTACAAACCAATTACATAGCAGGAAAGTAAAGGAGAGCCAAATTGTCTCCATTAAGCAGAAAAGACAATTGTGAAGAAGGAGCATCGCCAACAAAAATCTGCTCAGTGTTCCTTCCCAAGGAAGCCAACCAATGGGCAGGGCAATTACCCTCTCTAGATATGTGTTTAAATTGCACCATGCAATAGTTTATAAGATTCTTCATTTAATTATTCCATCTGAGCAAATTCCATGGAGGAGCTTCTTCATTCAGCAAAATTTTGATGCATACACTAGAATCAGATTCAGCAATCAAATGGCCCATACGACAATGATGAGCAATTGTGATAGCCCAATAAAAGCATCAAAATCCAAAGTAGGAGCTGTGAAATGAAGTATATGTTTCCCTTGGGAGTTCCTAAAGACTCTCCCAACACCTGCAACACCCCTGGAGGGTTCCAAAAAAGTTAAGTTGGGCCTGAAACTATGATGGTTATTCATGCTAGGCATCCAATTCTTAAAAACATTGGGAAAATGATGGTACTGAATCAATTTTTGCATATAAGAGGTGTAATTGAAGATCACAGAAGTTGCACATCCATATGAAGAATGATCCTCAAACTTCACTTGATTTCTGCACATCCATATGAACCATGCAACAAGACAGGGAATCACCAATAGATTGACTTTATTCCAATCCTCCCAACAACTAGTAAATTTAAACCAACTCAAATTAAAAGTATCATTTCTGAGACAATCAATTAAGCCTGACCAAATTCTTTTAGAGAAGCCACAAGCAAAAAATAGATGTTCTAAGGATTCCTCATCAGCATTGCACAGATGGCAGATGGAAGGACCACTTAATCCCTTCATCTTTAAGATATCATCAGTAAGGAGCAAAGATATCCAGAGTCTCCAATTTTTCCCCAGATGACTTTGCCCTAATCCACTTGATTTCAGTGGAAGAATTTTTGATAAATGTATGCAGCAGTTTTTGTGAGGTGGCTTGTTTAGTAATAATTTTGTCCTTCTGATTAGGTGAGAAGGCAGTGTCCTTCACCAACCTTGCTTGCTCACTGGATAGAACAATATTAAGCATCCTGCAGTTCTACTGTTCCTCAGACCAATATTCTTTAACTTGACTACAATAATTGGGGTTGGAAATAGTACAGTCAAGCTTCACCCCATTGCACGCCCATTGATCCAACCAAAAGTTGATTTGCCCCTCTCCCAAATCCCAAATGAATAGCTCTTCTGCCTGAGTTCTGATACTCAACAACTTGGACCACATCCTAGAATCCCCCAATTTCCTAGTTACAAGAGTAGGATGCACAAACTTGGAGTGCTTCCCCATCATATATCTGGCCTAAAGACTATCTTGGGCCCTAAATTTGATCCATAACTTGCAAAGGTTAATAAAGATTAGATGCTGAAAAATCTTTAAAGCCTAGACCTCCAGCCTGTAAGGGTATGCACACCTTTTGCTAAGGAAGCTAGTGGTACTATTTTTTTTGTCCAGCCCACAGGAATTTGTTGAAAATTATGCCAATTAGCACTTGTGTACCTTTCTACATAGTAAAAATTTGAAGAACATAGGCAGGCATGGAAATCAAAATGCTCCTCAAAAGAGTAATTCTCCCTCCATTTGATAAAAAGGAATTAGTCCAACAATTAAGTTGGGCCTTGATTTGGTCAATCACATCATGGAATTAAGTTTGCTTTGATCTGCCTTTGATTAACTAAACACCAACATACTTGATAGGAAGAGAGGCATTGCTAAGTCCAATATATTCAAAAATTTAATGTTTGATATGAGAATTTGATTTAACACTAATAAGAACTTGACATTTTTGTTGGTTTAGATCTATACCTGAAGCTTGCTGAAAATGCTTAAGTCCTTTATACAGTGTCGTGATAGCATTTTTGGATGCATTAGAAAAGATTATAATATCATCAGCATAAGCCAAGTGGCTTATGTTGATATTAGATCTGTGCTGATAAGCCAAAGAGGGTGAAGTAGCAAACATCTTATTTAGTAATCTTGAGAAGTAGTCCAAGGCTAAAATAAATATAGTAGGAAACAAGGGGTCTCCTTGTTTAATTCCCCTGGAAGTAGTGAAGAAACCATGATAATTGCCATTAATCAGGACTAATTAATCATTGCACTTCAACCATCTATCAATCAGATTAATGAAATCCACATTAAAGCCCCTAGCAGATAAGGTCTCCAGAATGAATTCCCAATTGATTGTGTCATAAGCCTTCCTTATATCAAGCTTGAAAATGGCATTCCCCCCTCTGCATTTCCTGTCCAGATCCAACAAAATTTCCTGGGCCAACAAAATATTGTCTGAAATATTTCTTCCTTTGACAAAATTAACCTGATTATCATAGATGAGGTTTTGGAGATGTGGTTGGAGCCTGAATATAATAATCTTGCTGATCAATTTGGAGATCACATTAGATAAGCTGATGGGTCTGAAGTCGCCCCAAATTTTCTTAGTATGATTTTTTGGTATCAAAGTGATAGTGGAAGCATTGGAATACCTAGGAGGGTCCACCCCAATGAAGAAATTTTGAACAGCTTGTATTGAACAGCTTGTATGATATTCTTGGGTGGTCTTAGCCCAAGTGGCTTTATAGAAGGTGGATGTGAACTCATCAGGCCCAGTAGCCTTCTGCTCATCAATTGAATCTAAAGCAACTTTAATCTCTTCCTCCAAAGGAATATTGGTCATATATAATCCTTGGGAATAATCTTGACAATTAGAGAATAGAGCAGTATCAATGGAAGTTCTATCAGTTTGCCTGCTGGTGAAGAGATTTTGTAAGTAGCATCTTGAGCAATTTCTTCATCAGTGGTGAGATTCAGACCATTAGAGTTAGTGATAGAGAGGATCATTTTGCATTTCCTCTTGTAGTTGTTAATACATGCATGGTAAAACCTTGTATTTCTATCTCCTTCAATGAACTTAGAGATTGTTGCCTTCTGCTTAAGGAAACTCTCCTGATAGTTAATTTGAGAAAGAAGCTTTTGCTTGGTGTACCTTAGCTTCAGTGTTCAGTCCCAATTGGAAACCTTCTTCTAATCTGTAAACCTCCTCTAGAGCAACTACAAGATTCTCATTAACATTCCCAAACCTCTCCCAATTCTACCTTCTAAGATTCATAGCTACTTTCTTTTGTAATTTTCAAAGCTTAATCCAGGGATTACAGTCAGGTTCATAAACCCAAACCTTTCCAATTTCCTGAAGAAAATCAGGATGTAAAGTCCACATGTTCTGAAATCTAAAAGGAGTACAAGCAGGTCTGACTAAATTTTGTATGGAGAAAAGTAATGGTCTATGGTCTGATCCAGCCATAGCATGATGTGAGACAATAGTGTAAGGAAATGTTTGAATCCATTGAGAATTGGCAAGCATTCTATCCTGCCTCTCCCACAGGGTGCCCCTCCTCCAAGTAAATTTTGGCCCTTGAAAGCCAAGATCAAATAGATTAGCATTTTGGATGAAATCATTGAACGTGGCAATGGCAGAAGGAAAAGGAGTATTACCCCCTCTTTTTTTCAATTGGAGAAGTAATACAATTAAAGTCACCTCCCATAATCCAGAAAGAGTTAATGGACTGACCCAGATGTAATAAATCCCGCCATAGGGCCTGCTGCTGACTAGCCAAACAGATGACATAAATAAAAGTAGCATATCCCACATGTGCTCCAATAGAAAACTAGATATGTATGAACTGTGAATGATCAAGTAACATAGAGCACTGAGTTTCAGATCTGACAAAAAGCTAGATTTTATTATTATAATTTGCATAATGACCGAACTTAGGAAACTTTTTTGTAATGTTTTGAGGATATTTAGAGACCATGGGCTCTAGAAGAATAAAGCACCAAATCTTATGAGTTCTAATGAGATATTTAAATCTCTTAAGTGAGGAGTGGTGAGTTACTCCTCTTATGTTCCAACATAAGAAATTGATCATTGAGAAAAGGTTCTCCCCTTCCCTCTAGTTCTAGGATGAGGTTCCAATTGTGCGATTATGGAAGGCCCATCCAATGGTTGTTTAACTTCCAGACTCCCTTTTTTTTTCTTGTTGCTTTTTTGAACTTGCAATTCATCAGTTAACAAATCTATAAGAGTGTTAAGTGTAGGGTCAAAAATCTTATGGGGATTAATATCCAATAATCTGTCATCATGTATATTATTCTCCAACAACCTCTTTCAGTAGAAATACCATTGACAATATTCTCCATCTCAGCAATAACTATAGTATTAGGCAAATAAGACTTCTTGTGAGTAGCATTAGCATCTGAGTCTAAATCTACTTCACCTGAAACTCTTTCCCTGTTATGCTGCCTCTACATGCCTAGAAGCATTTTCCTTCCCCATACTCTTGTCTGAATTCTTCTTTTTTGTAGGAGGATGAAGTCTATAGCACTTCTCCAAATTATGTCCAAGCATTCTACAATGAGGGCAACAAATAGGTCTTTGCTCCACCACAATTCTCTGCTAGAAACCTTCCTCTTCTGATCCAATCCAAACCCTCTCAACATTTAGGAGTGTTACATCTTATTCTACAAGAACTCTAACCCTGCATGTGTGACCATATTATAAGTTGGAGCATCAACTTTTAGAGGGCATCCAAGTCCTCTATTGATATTGAAAATCACATTTTGATGATAATATTGTATAGGGAGATTAGGGAGTTTAAACCACATAGGAAAAATTGAGGGTTAGGTGTCTACTTCACTAATTTCATAGGAGTTCCATTAATTAGCAAGGACTGTTTAGCAAATACTCTTGCATAATCTTCCTCAATAGATATTTTAATTAACAAATGCCTGTCATCCAGTAAACCCCGCCTCCAAGGGCCATTTAACTTTAGCTCATCAAAATATTTCCTTACACAATCCATCTTAGGATGGCTAAAATTTTTCTATTAGAGTAAATTTAATTGATTCATTAAGAGATTGAATTTTCTTTGTGGAAAAAAGGATGGCAGGTTTCCATCCTTCAGCCCAAGGGTTAACATAAGGACAGACCCCCTTCCCTATAGCAACATTATGAAGGGTTTGTGGAAACACCAAGTGCTCAAATGACTTAGGAACTTCAATTCCACTTCCAACTACATCAACAAATGTAGCCTTTGTCCATTGAGCATTGATTTCAATATAAATGAGACAATCCATTGATATAATAACTAATGCAACAACAAATGAGAAGGAAGATTTCAACCTAATGAATAACAAGCACCACTAACAAACCAGCTTGTGATAAGCAGAAAACTAGCAAGAAAAATTCAAATAAACATACCACCAAGCTTGGCAAGTAATGGAATAGTAGCCAAGATTCAAACCAACTAGTCCACTAACAAACCAGCTATTGATAAATAGAAAACCAACAAAAGAAATCCAAAATGCAGTCCACCAAACTTAGCAAGCAATGGAACAGTAACACAGTCCACCAAGCTTAGCAAGCAATCAATGGAACAATATACAAGATTCAAAAAGTTGTTGCCCGGGAAGCCCCAATCAAAGAGAAACTCCAAAAGTTCAAGCCTAGAAAAAAGTTCTTAATGAGGCTGAGACGCCAAGCTCCTCCACCTAGCTTCACGGCGCCTCCAAGAAGGGCCATCAGTGCCCAAAACCTAGCAGAGCAAAACCTATTCCAGTCGCCATGTGTATATATATATATATATATG